TGCTGTTGGCCCTCTTGGCCACCTGAGCACACTGCTGGCTCATGTTCAGGCAGCTGTCAACCAACACCCCCAGGTCTTTTTCTGCCAGGCAGCTCTCCAGCCACTCCTCCCCAAGCCTGTAGCGTTGCATGGGGTTGTTGTGACCCAAGTGCAGGACCCGGCACTGAGCCTTGTTGAATCTCATACAGTTGGCCTTGGCCCATTGATCCAGCCTGTCCAGGTCCCTCTGCAGGGCCTTCCTACCCTCCAGCAGATCAACACTCCTGCCCAGCTTGGTGTCATCTGCAAACTTACTGAGGGTGCACTCGATCCCCTCATCCAGATCATCGATAAAGATATTGAACAGGACTGGCCCCAGTACTGAGCCCTGGGGAACACCACTTGCTGCCAGCTGGATTTGACTCCATTCACCACAACCAACAAGTATTCACAAACCATCCTCACAAACATGTATCTTTCTGAGTATATCTTCCTACTTTATTGCAAGCGTGAACTGTTGGTATGTCTTGATTCTCAGTGTGCAATTCTTAGTTCTCCTCCCAGGTAGAGAGGATATCTCCTTAGAGGGTGCTGCTTTCTTCCTCCAGCTGAATAGTTTGTCCTTCCGTTCTTCTGGCCAGAAAAAAAAATGTCAATTTAAACTATATTGTCCTGATAGTCACCTCCTACTCACATCCGGTTTCCATTATTTCAGAAGTTGCTAGTGCAAGCAATGGATTCTTCTGTTCCAACTCAGTGTCCAGTGTGAGTGGCCACTTTTGTCCAAGGCCAGTCCCATCCTACCTCTCAGCATTCTGAGTTACATGTTCAGAAATGTGGTTATTCTGCCCAATCCATATATTCCTTTGGAAGCACTGTCTTTGTTATGGTTTATAAAGATTATAGAAGACTTTCACTACTTATGATACCCTTTTCTGCCTGGAAGCTACAGTCTCATGTAATGGGAGAGCTTGTGAGTTTCAGTGAGTTTGAGAGCTGTAGCAACTGACCTTTTAACTTCCCGTAATTCCACCCATATAGGACAATATTAGAGGCAAAAATCAATCCACTCATCCTCGAAGTGTAGTTTAGCACTAAATCCTTATTAGCAAATACTGTAAAACAGCATGTTTGCTATTTTAGCAAAATCACCCATAAGTGTCATGATGATGGAGACCTCCCTGTGCTCTAAGGGATGTCTGAAAACTGGCAAATTTCAGATTTGGGTTGATGCCGCTATGTAGAAATGTTATCGAAACTGTTGTGGCCATTTCTTAAATATTTTGTAGTCTAAGTATTTCTCACTTAAGCAAATATCAGTCTTCCTTCTGGGCTGTCCTCAAACATCCCATCACATTAGACATTCATTCTTGCTATTATTAATTCAGAGGAAGTTAGTATTCTTCTGTAACTTTCACAATATTGACAGTGAAATGGAGAAAAAATAGTTTGTAAAGATTCTAATGTGAGCAGAGTTGTTCTCCTAATACTAACACTGTTGTTCTGTTTCTCAATTGATAGACACTGCAGTTGTACAAGACATTTTCAAACAAAGTCAAATGATAATTTTTAAAATAAGAAAACAGGCATTCTGTATATTAAAAATATTGATTCAAATAAACAATGATAGATATGCACACCAAGTCATTTATCTGTTACTGTAGTGGTTCAGTGTAGTAGCAAATATAATACTTTTAGTAGCTCAAATCAAAATATGTACACGTTACATACTTAACACAAAAATTTTATATTTTATGAAGCTTATAGAAATAATAAACTCACTGACAATGGAGTCATGTTAACTTTTAATATCCAAAATTAAGACATCTGCTGTAAGCAAGTCAACTAACCTAAACTAAATGTCTAGATTCTCCTTACTGTCATGGGAAAGAGACAAACCCATTTCTCTCTTTAGATAGATGTCTGAGATGATTCACGCTTTAGAGATAACTTCACTGTCCACTGGTTGTAGAGGAGCTTAAATAAATTAGATGCTTAATTTTAAGATGGCTACACATAGGTGAGGGAAATCCCATGTTAGTGTGAGCTGTCTGTTTGAATGATTTAATCTTTTTACATATTCTAAACAAGAACTTCTAGAGGATATAATTTGAATATTCGTTATTTGTTAATTTTTTTCTGTTTTTTTTCAGAGCTCGAAGAATCCAGACAGAAATGCCCACCATGCTGGTACAGATTTGCAAATACTTTCTTGATCTGGGATTGTTGGAGTCCATGGTTAAAAGTAAAACACATCGTCAATTTAGTTGTGATGGATCCATTTGTTGATCTTGCTATAACTATTTGCATTGTTTTAAACACCTTGTTTATGGCCATGGAACATTACCCAATGACAGAACAGTTTAGCAGTGTCCTTTCGGTGGGGAACCTGGTAAGTGGTTTGTCATGCACTACTTGGTGTAAAACTACCATTTTCTAAAAGAAGAAATGCATAAGTGCATTGCATTGGTTTTAAATTTCTTCCAGGTTGGTTTTTGTAATCAGTTTAGAAACTGTATATATGATTTTCATAGATAAAGTGATTTTTGCTGGAGCCTTTAACTTTCATGAATCTATTTTGTAACTACTATAATGAAATAACTGAATATGTGTGGAAGTGCAGTCTTCACTGGATTGTCAGATATCTTGAGGTCTACCTTGGTTTTTTTCTTTAAAATGTTAAGATAGAGTATGTAATTTTTACCATGGTACTGATATTCCATCACAGAAAATATTTTTCTTCTGTAAGAAATTGATGAAATATTCAGATATCAATCTCTTTTTGAATTTTTTTCAGTTACACTACAGTGAAAGCACATTTCCAAGAAAGGCATATTTCTTGTTAGCAGTAAGTCCTTGTCACTTTAGGTAACTAAAAAACACTTAATAAACTAGAAGATTATTATTTATTCGCTAACAAAAAGCACCTTGTATCTGTAAGTTTATTAGTGATGCCTTTCCCGATTTTAACCTGATCCTTTTCTGAGCAGATACCTAAATGCGGCATAACACTTAAATGCTCTTGTCTGTTCCTCTCTATTTGCTTCCAATGCTCAGGAAGCAGAGGACTGAACCTTGCAAGTGTTTGTTTCAGAAGAAGATTCATACATTTTTAATTTTTTGCCAGCTCACGTAACTACCAATAGTTTACGCAGGAGAGGTCTGGATAGACTCACACAGCATGCTGTCCTGAAAATCAAAACCAGCCAAGAGTTCTGAACTAATCATTCAAAAAGACTAGTTTTGAAAAATCTGCTAATATTTAAATGGAGCAGTAATACTCAGTCAGAGTATGTTTTAAAGTCTAAACATTTTCTTTATAGGTACTGGTAATACATCCTTCTATGACTTTTTTAAAAAATAGAACTAAAATTGAACTTACTACCTACGTGTTCTTGTGTGCATTACAGTTTCCTTTCTCCTTGATAAAGATCTAATTGCTGGCATATTCTTATATTCATCACAGATTACAGAATATTGTATTTTAAAAGGTTGGTCTGTCATATTGTTAGAATTATTTCTCTCCAAACATTTATACTTACAAGGTCTTCTGCCTTTTCCCATCTCATATTTTTATTTTTTTTTACTCTAAACTAGCAGCAGTCATATTTTTAACTACCTTTGTAACAATCTAGTATCCTTAATAAGGACTATGTATGTGCAGTGAATACTTTCCCTGTGGTTTCAGTTAAATTCTCTGTTCCTCACTGTATTAATCTATTAACCTTAATTTTGTGATTTCCATTCAAAATATGTTAACTTACTCTTTGCTTGTGACATCACGGTCTGTTTGAGGATAAATTAAATATGACAAATATGACTCTGCCTTTTCTGTAGCATTTTAATGAGGACGTAAAAATAGTTCTAAAATGCAATGATTAATTTTCATAATACTAAAATTCATTCAGTATTCAAAAGTCTTAAGTAATTATAAGAAAACTTGAGTTTACTTCTGTTAAAATGTATTTTTGTGTATTTGGGGATGCAGTTATGCTCAAGAAAAAGTAGTTTGTGAATGAAATGGGTTTTAAAATGAAATATTTTAAAATTAAATTATTTTAATTGCTTTTTTTTTCAATTATTTCGACAAATATGACAATTTTGTCAAGAATAATCTTCTTTGTTGCGTTCTCCTTACCACACATAGCAATACCCGTTACATTCTTCTGATTATATGGTAACATCTCTCATATATCAATTTAATAGCTTAGTGTTTCTTGCTATATTTCTATTTTCTTAAAAGTATACACTTTTAAAAATGTTAATATTTACACTTTGACAATGGGAATGTTTCGACAGCATTATATCCACCTCCTAATCTTCTTAAATTAAAAGGTAATCATGAGTGTAGTTATATAGTGTTGTAAAAAGTCAGCTTTGCATCCATAAAACTTGCTGTAGGAAGACTGAGAGCAAGCTGGGTAAAGAACTATCACAAGGCAATGGCAGAGTACATTTCTGTACTTTAGTAGACTTTTGGATCATCTAGGATATCCTTTGGGTGTTGTGCAGAATATTCATATGTTTTTAGTGGTCTTGCATTATGCTCCAAAACTTCTTTATTATGCTGCACAAACCACTGATGACTGCCCAATGCAAGAAACTCCAATTTCCCCTGTCTATTCCACCCATACTCTTAACTCTGACCTAAAAGACAGACCTTAGAGAGTCTGTCCTTAGACTCTGACCTTAGAGAGTTTCTTCTAACACTTTTGTTTAGACCGTGAGCAAGGAAAAAAATTGCTGTCAAGTCTTCTTTTGCTTTACTGGGACTATCCTCTAGAAACAGGACTGAAAATACCAGATCATATTGCATCATCTGCTGGATGGATAGTTCAGCACATATCAGTCATATATGAACCGGAGCTGAGCTGCTGACTGGTGAATAACTTTTTATAGGTTCATCAGTCCTCTCCCTTCCTATATCTGTCCTGATTTAGTAATTTGTTTTTAATTATCAGTTTTCAGTGTTTAGTGTTTAGATGCCACTTGGAGATAGCAATCAGCTGTTTTTTATAGTAACAGGTACAATTAACAGGTATGAGAACTCAAGCTGGATTAGAAAAACTTATTCAGGTATATAAATTTCTCATAACAATTCAACTAATTAATTACATTTTGTTTTAGGTATTCACTGGGATATTCACAGCAGAAATGGTACTAAAGATAATTGCCATGGACCCTTATTATTATTTCCAAGAAGGCTGGAATATTTTTGATGGTATTATCGTTAGCCTTAGTTTAATGGAGCTTGGTCTTGCAAATGTGGAAGGATTATCTGTTCTTCGGTCATTCAGATTGGTAAATACCTTGATAATTAGATATTTGCATGCGATTGTCTCACTTGAAAAAGATGGGCTGATGTCTGTAATAATTACCAGTATTGTAAAGATATATTATATACTTAAATGCCTCATACTATTTTTCATATATGTCTAATTTGCAAGCCATACATGATAAATACAAGTTTAAGGTGTTGTCAGTTTACATCCTTTAATATCTTTTGGTATCAAATTATCCTATTGATATCCTATCCTACTGATACCCTTTGCCAGCATAAGACTAACTGCTACCTTTTGAGAATTTTGTAAATCTTCGTTATACTGTTTTCATTAAGATTCATCAAAGCTGAATATTTGTAAAAACATACATATTGCCACCAGCATAAAGAATCATAACATTTTTAGTCTTTATATTGTGAACATTACTTTGTGTTACTCATAATTTTAATGGGCACCGAGAATAAACATTTAGTAACTCCATTACATATAACAGAGTCATAACAATCTGACTTTAGGATAACAGTTAAATTGAAATATTATTGAGCTTCTACTAGAAATGTCTTTTTTATAACAATTAGTATTGTACACAAACTAATTTATAGGTATGTTTACTAGAGGCACAAAATTCATGATTTAAAAGTCTGTATTACTAGTAGTTATCACATTACTAGAAAACCTAGATTATCTCCTAATATATAGAACAGGAGGTAGTGACTTAGTTTATTAGCACCAGTCGCAATGGTACCCAACTTCACATACCATAGTTTGGTTACTGAATGTTATATTTAAGTTAGTGTTTATAACTTGAATGGACATCACAATATCAGTATCAAATTGTTGCTTCAAAAATTGTCCTCTAAGGCTGGAAGTCGTAATGCGGTGCTGAGGGAAATGTGGAACCAAGACAGCAAAGAGGGTGTAGTGAAAGTGAATAAAAGAGTACAAGCTTCTAAAATGTCTTTACGAATTGTTCAGTAATTATCTGTAAGTGGATGTTTAAAAATATTAAAATCAAACGTGGTACAAACAAAAATTATGGGGGGTTTCCTATGTGCATCACTAAGATGAAATGCTGAACACTGCAGTTTAGGCAAATACCCCATGCTCCCTGCTTGCCATTAAAATAACAAGATGTTCCTACTGAAGAACAAATTAATCTATGGAAATTGATATGCTCTGCTAAGCAACTTGGACCTAGCTTCTATTTCTTAACTACCACTAGTGATTCCTCTCTGTTTTTGTTTTTCAGCTCCGAGTTTTTAAGTTAGCAAAATCTTGGCCAACTCTAAATATGCTGATTAAGATCATTGGCAACTCAGTGGGGGCTTTGGGAAATCTGACCCTGGTGCTGGCCATCATTGTGTTCATTTTCGCTGTGGTTGGGATGCATCTTTCCTGATTGTATTCCGAGTGCTGTGTGGCGAATGGATAGAAACGATGTGGGACTGCATGGAGGTTGCAGGCCAAACCATGTGCCTTATTGTTTTCATGCTGGTCATGGTGATTGGAAACCTAGTGGTACGTGACGAACATTTTGGACGTTAACTCTAATGCAAAATGTACACAACTTACAGCTAGGCAATGAGAATGTTTGTCATAATTCTGTTCAGAATTAAAAAAATAAATCTGAATGTGCTAGATTTTGGGTAAAAACATATGATGATTCCCTTCTCCCCCTTTTCCCTCATTTCCATACACTGAAGTACTCTCACTATGTGTACAGGAATTTAGGAATACACCAAAATGCCAAATCAAGCACCCTATCATGGGAGTGCTGCAGGTAATTTAGAAGTGCTGTTTAAATCCAGATGTCTTCCTAACTACTCTTGAAATAATAAAGCTTATACTGCACCAGCTCCTAGGCAGCTGCTTCTTCGGAGAAAAAAAATCTGACAAACTTTCTTACACCCACTACAGCTAATTCCAGCACTAATACTTCTGACTTAATAAAAATAAAGTATAATGTAGCTATTCTTGTATAGAGTATCTTAAATTTAAGTACTGAACTTTTTGGCCTGTTTAGGTGTAAAAAGCAAAAACTAAATACAGAGTGACTGGACATCCATCCTAAAAATGTGTTTGAAAGCTTCTAACTCAAAATTATAAAAGAAACCTTTATAGAAAAATTTTAATTCAAGCTGACAAATTAAAATGCCAAAGGTTCAATTGATAAATATTGAATTGGAGAGAACTTCTTAGAAATCAATGTTATAATTGGAATGCACCATTTACACTTTTATTTTTAAATTTCTTTTACTGTTATCTTTGCAGTTCATTCTGATGTGCCTAAAAACTATATTACCTGTCAAAACTCTCTTCCTTTAGTGACATATTTTAACATGATTTAAATTTTATAAAATAGAATTCAGAATGTTTGTATCCTAGTCATTTACATGACCTTGCAATCTTGACACTGTATCAGCAGAAATGTGCAGAGCCCCAGAAAGTTATTTATGATCAGTAACCTGCTCTACTATTTTTTGAGCATAAGCTTCAGCATAGAAATACTGCTTGAGATTCATATTGTTTTCTTCCAAGTGCCTTTTTACCTTCAAGGTTCTTTTCTGGAATTGTGAAAGTCTGCAGAATTAAATCTCAGAGAGAGTACAAAAGAGAGACCTAACACATTTAACAATGGGGAAGTTTGTTTATGCCATTTTGCCATATCATGACAACTTTTGATGCCTGGTAGTATATCAGACTGAAAGTATGAAATGATTAATTGCTTGTAAGCTTTAGTGAAATAGCTACAGCTTATAGGAGATTACATTAAAACAACAATAGTGATGTCTGAAGTCTGAAAAAATAAACCACAGTTCCCAGTCAATACTGGTGATAAGATTGTTACCTGCTGATGAAAGAAGTCCATTTTATTTTAAATTCCTACATAAGAGCAAACAAAATTTTCATTTTTTGCCAAGTGAAAAAGGAAAAATATCCAATTACAAATAATACAGTATTATTATAAATAATTGAGATTAAAGTGTAAAATTAATTTTTAAATATTCCTTTTATCCTTTTATGATAAGCTTCATAGAATTTAAGAGACAAGCCCAGAACTAACAGAATGTCACAGTCTCATGGTATAATCTTCCAAATAGTAGTTAGAAAGTATAAGTAGGTTATTATAGCATTAACTAATACAAGTTTCTAAAATATCTGCATCAGAGAAACCCATCTAATTTTATGAATCATGTTTATTTAATTCTACATAAATTCCAAGTGATCTTAAGAGACTTAGACAGAAGCCTTTCAAACCTCTGATGAATGTGTATAGCTAGAATTTTTGTAACCTTTTTTTTTATTTTAAAGTCTAAGCAACCATGCTGCTTCAAACAAAGATCAAAAGTTTAAATATTTAGGTATTAGCTTGTCTGTTTTCATCTTCTGACTGAATACTGATCAAAACAAGTAAGGACATCTTTCGTAATTTAAGGTGCTATATGGTTGTCTAAAATGAGTGAATGTTGTTTTTCAAAACAATGTTTGCTATTCAACAGTTTCCTGTAAAAGTACTCACTTCTTATATGTATGTATTTACATATTCTGTATTCTCTCATCTTTTAGGTATTAAACCTATTTCTGGCCTTGCTGCTGAGCTCATTTAGTTCAGACAACCTTGCTGCTACTGACGATGATAATGAAATGAACAATCTCCAGATTGCTGTGGCAAGGATTCAGAAGGGAATAGATTATGTTAAAAAAAAGATACAGGAGTTCATCCAAAAAGCCTTCATTAGAAAGCAGAAAGCTTTAGAGGAAATCAAAGCACTTGAAGAGCTAAACAACAAGAAAGACAGCTGCATTTCCAATCACACTGCTGTTGAAATAAGCAAAGATCTGAATTATCTTAAAGATGGGAATGGAACCACCAGTGGTGTAGGCACAGGCAGCAGTGTGGAAAAATACGTAATCGATGAAAACGATTACATGTCATTCATAAACAACCCAGGCCTCACTGTGACAGTACCAATTGCGGTTGGAGAATCAGATTTTGAAAATTTAAATACAGAAGAATTTAGCAGCGAATCTGATATGGAAGAAAGCAAACAGGTAGGATTTTTCGTATCTTAACAATTAAATTGTAGTCATGCATTTACGTATTTCTTAATTACATATTTAGAATTGTTTAAAAACTGTCTTACTGCATGTAAATATATTTTATATTTTATTATTTTATGTAATTATAATTCAAGAAAAAAATTACCCCATGTGATGGTATACTAGGGGGTCCTTAGAGTTTACATTTTTAATACTCTGTTTATTAACATTTGGAAGATGTATCATTTTAAATACGATTATTTCTTTCACAATTTTATGAGGTTGTAGGACTAGCGCACATTTCATAAAGCATTCTTTCTGTAGTACCTGTAACGCAATCAGGATTTATGGAATAAGAGTAGAAGGCTAAGGAACAATCAAAAGTATACAGCTTTGCATACCCAAACAAATATAAGTGGAGAAAAAATATTTTTTCCTATATTTAGGGTAGTTCTAAAAATGAACCCTGAGACATCATAAATCAGTGATATATTCTGGATTATTTAAAAAGTTTTGTAATATTCATACAGATTTTGGGTTCAGAGATTATGGCTGGCTGAATTGAAGTAATCCAGATACCAATCAATGTCATGGTAAAGCAGTACCTCAAGTTATCCTGGAGAGCAGAATATAGATGAAATATAGATGCATGTGGAAACAGTTTATTTGAAAGCCTTATGCTATTGTTATTGTGCAAAGAGACAGAAGTTGGTGTAAAAAACAGAAGCCATGTGCCTCAAAATATAAGTGGCTCAAATACCAGAAGTGATCATGAACAGCTGATAATGGTATTCAAGGAAAACTTTGTATGTTGGATTAATGATCAATGACAAGCTAATAAATGCATTAGCAGAATATAATTATATTCAATGCCATTAGAAATGTAGGAACTGTGAGGTTTAAGGGATCAGAAACCATGGATAAGTATGTTTTCAGTTAGATTAGAAACTATGATGTTGTGTGATAACTCATTAATACATAAGGGTTTGTTTACCATAAAGAAAGCTCTTCTATAAAGAAGCCCTGCATTCATGACTGTATCATAGCTGTATAGCTGCCATATTTGAAATAATGCTGTATTCCTCAGCAATACCAAACTATACCACATAGCTTTAATGGATAGCCATGATCCAGTTAATGTTTTTTTTTTGCTAAAGAACATAAAGGAACATAAAGAGTGTGTATTTATTTGCAACTGCAAAGGTTACTCTGCTAACAATTGTAAGATTAAGAACAAGATATTCTATCATCTGACTGAGTTGCTCAGTCATGAGATGTTTTCAATGCAGATGTATAAGATAGTATAGCAGTAGTGCTTATCCATGACAATTTAAGAATATAAGAGATACGGGAAGTGTAAAGTGATATAATTTATGAGATCAACTAGTATTAAAAAAAAGCTTTCAGAGTGACTCTGGGTCTGAGAGTTAACTATTTTTCATGTGAGCTGATCTAATAAAAGTTAATTGTCTTTTCCAATGAACCTTTAGCAAATTCTTCCAAGTCTTTTCATATATTCTGATGTTCTTGAAAATGACATTTTACTATAAGTTTTCTGCTTTCCTTGTGGTTAGTTTTGATAAATACAGCGATGAGTGCCTTCCTAGTAACTCCATCTTATGAAGTTATATGCCTAAAAATTTCCTGAATATGTTACTTTTAAAAAAGTTTGTAATATGCATTAGGAAGCTGGGAGGCTTATAAGCTGTGCAGATGCTAAATGTGTGGTTATGTGGCATGTTAGCCCCAGCAGAGAGCTGGCTTGGGAAGTTCCCATCCACACCTGGCTCCTGATCCCCTGGCAGTCCTTACCACTTTCTCTGCTACAGTGCTTGTGGGTCTGTACTATAAGGCGTATCACTGGAGTGGTGTAAGTTAAATAACATCATCCCATAGGTATTATTTGTTTGTTTCTTCTTTAAGATAGATTGAATGGTTCAGTTTACAGTGTACTGCCATATATTCTATCAGAACAGCTGAGGACAAAACAAAATGCAATGCAAAGGCAGAAACTCCTCTGCTTTCCAAGTGAATACATGATGTAAGTACACCCCAAGAAAATGGAGTAAAAGGCCTTGTTGTGCTGAGAAATTCTGAATGATACCGATTTCAAGCTGACTTTCACAAGTCAATTGCTCTGTTCATTCCCACCTTTGCTTGGTTCAGGCATCATGCTTTTTTCTTCTAAGGCCATCCTGAAGTTTCAGGACCATAAAAAATCAAAAGGCATTTTGCCTTTTTTATGGCCTTTGGATGTATCCATATGTCTTCAGGAAGAGTAATCAAATCCAAAAGTCTGTATAAGCAATTTGAAAGTGAAAATTTCAGGTGACTGTGGGAAATCCGCCAGTAAATGAAGGATGGTGTTTATATTAAGAAATTGTGGAGAAATTTTCAATGGGGATAGGATAAGTCTAGGACTTCTGTGGAGCCTCAAGATTTCCATAGAATGTAATAATCACTACCATTGCGAAGCTGGCGCAATAGCACTTCCCTCAAGTTCTGCTCACGCACAACTGTTCAGCGTTTAACTATTTGACATGTATTCGTACAGTGCAAGTGTGCATATTGTGAACGGTATCTAATAAGACAGGAATTTCTTACCAGTGCCCTGAAAATTGTGAATTCTATATTAATTGCAGTTTCCATTCTGGATTCCTTATTCCATTCATTCTGGATGATTTTTAGGGAAAGGATAAAGTGCTTTCTTTTATTGTGCGTATAAAAATCCACCTGCTTTCGTAATCTATGAGCAGATGTTCTGACGTGTGACAGGAATTTGTGAAGATTCCCAATTGTCTCCTACCAAGTCAACAGTACTGTTGAATCTTTTGCTACCTTCTGATTGTCTTTTGAGGAAGATAGAGAGTATATTGGTGCAGTGTTTAAGTTGCCTCTCTAGAACAGTACACCATCATGTGCTTTATTTTGCCTCTCAAGGGATGCTACTGAGACAACACTCCTGCTAGGAGAAGGCCTGGTCTGCAAAAGGAGGGTAAGAGATGGGGCAGAAGTTTCCCTGCCTTACCTGGGCAGTACTTAGCACTTAAAATACCCCCAGGAGGTGTCCCCTTTAATAACGTTTTCTTTAACAACAGAGCTGTGGGAAGCTAGATGTGCACAGGAACTGTAAAATGAACCATTTTTTTCTGGTGTCTTACTCACTGTCACTGATGTTAAGAGCAGAATGATTATTTAAAGTCTGTCAGCAATAACAGGTCATGCTAGAAGTGGGGCAGGGGCTGTGTGCCCCTGAGGAATGTGCCAAGAGCAGGTAATTACTATAGAAATTGTAACTGTGGGTGAGTAAGGAACAAATTGTAATTTTTCCTATTTTTATTATCAGATATACTATGGTACAAAATTACTCTAGCCACCAAGTTTCTTTTGGAAGGCTGGTTCCTTTTTTTTTTTCCCCTTTCATAAAAACACTTTCTAATTAATTTGCGAGTTAATAACTTCCTAAATCTGCCAGAACCTATTCTGGAACCTGGTTGCAAGTTCCAGACCTAAACAAGATCTTTCTAATACATATCACTAGAAATTTGGGGAAGTCTCATTTTGGATGAAACAGAATAATAACATTCATTAGATTTTAAGGTTACCCACTGCTTTAGAGTAATAGTTTGCTGAAAGTATGTGAAAGAAGTGAGCATTTTTTGATACTTTGAAGAAGGATTTTTTTAATATCTACCATCAGAAAATAGAGGTGCAATACCCAATAAAATAACCATCAGAAATAACAGATTTCTGCTCTGAAAATAAGATACTCAAGATAATTAACTTTGAAGATAATAAGAAAATTAGAAGCAACTAAAGGGGATAATTCAGTGTTTTTTAAAGTTAGCATTATGGATGCTGTTTCTATTATAAAATATGCCTGCTAATCAGCGAAATGAATGGACTATGTTAATCTTACCAAATATAAGACTCCTAACTATTGTATTTCCGTACCACTTAACAACTGTTCATTATACCTGAATCACAACTTTATGAATAAAGTTTTGGACTTCAACATGGAAAAATAATTTCAAAGGTATTAATCAGTTATGGAAAGCTTATTTCACAGCTAAAGAAATACATATACCTACAGGCCTCTATCATTCAGAATTCCAAAAGCCTTTCTATCTACAGTATATGTACAGCAAGTACAAATGCAGATTGGAGCAGTAAGGCTGCTCAATAACTTCTGAAATTATCATCTAATCCACTGAATTTTCAAAAAAAGAAATAATTTCAGTTTTCTGATTGGCTTCACTCGTGCCTTTGTGACTGGGTGAAGTAAAAAGACAGGAACACAGTTATTGCATTCCCAAAAGTTAAGCATTGCCATTGGGTTGCAATACATTTCTTAGCCAAAACATACCCAGTAGTGATTTGATCAATTTGTTGAATGACTTTTTATCAGATTTCTTTTAAAATACCCAACAATCTAAATTCCCCTTTTCTAAAACTGACCAATTCTGGGACAGTATCTTCAAAAGTCACAGATTCTTTAAGTTATGGACTAGCTGTGGACAACTAATGAATGAAACCACATCTCTGGATACACTGATGGGCCACTGTCCAGACACTGATCCAATCCTCTTTTGAAACAGTTGGAGAGAGATTATAGAGTCAGAAGTATACAGCATACTAAATCTAAACTAGAAACTTACACAATATGATACTTCCTCACATTTAATTTGAACAGAAACTAAGGAAGTTTATTTTCATTGAGATCTATAAGTTCTACCACCATTATTAGAGGATGAAGGAGGAACGGGAAGACATACATCTTCAAAGTATTTTGCTTACTGTACGTGCATTTTTTGCAAATAAAACAGATAATCACATAGTTAAATGAAGACTAGAATATTAAATGAAAAAAACCCTTAAAATTTTCATTAATATGCATTAAGCACTATATAAATACTGGAATACTTTCCAAATCTGCTAACCATGTCTTTATTAATTTAATTAATTGTATTTTTATTTATGAATCACAATTTCAGAGTGTGGATTATTAGGTC